TTCCAATCTACTCGCTCTGGAGAGCAGAGTTCGCTGCTCTTAGATGTTGTCGCCAAAGTCTCCTGTAGCAGAAAAAAGTCGCTATATTTGGCCCTTTGTTGAAATAAAATTGCTAGAGGGGTCTGAAAAGTTGCTAAATATAGCAACAAAAGCGCTAATGTGGCAATACTGCTCTTTGCAATGTTAATAATTAACATTAATACATCATTAATGTGCACAAATAAGTAATAGCTGTATTAACCATACATGTAAAATGAGTCTTATTGGGCCCCCAGGAACTTGGGGCCCTAGGCAGCCACCTAGTTTTCCGGTAAATCCGCCCCTGAGTTTCTCAGACTACTCAGTCTGTTTTTTTTAAACCCATTTTTGCCAAATGTTGTAAATCGGAGAACAAAATTCTGTTTCTGCAGTTTCCTTTTCAGAGTCAACTATTTGATTTGAAGTATTAGAGGAAAGACGGAGGGCAGGAAGGGGTCCAAACAGCTGTTGGATTTGAATCTTGAGGGTCTAAAGGAGCAGCAGCTGCTGCAGAATCTCCCTCAGGCTCAGCAGGAACATCAACATTTACTCAGAAATCTCTTTAAAATGCAGTGAATTGAACCTTAACTGCACAGTCGCATTATTTAAAACGAGGGCAAATTAAATCTGACAGCAGAATGAATGTAATCTAGACTGAGGTTTCCTCTGAGGGGCTTTCGTCCCGACCTTTCCAGTCTCCAAACTGGAACAGGAATCATCCAGCTGCTGGACTTCCTGGTTTCCTTTGTTCTTTCCAGTTCATTTAGATCATCTCCTGCTTCCACGAAGCAGACTACAAAATCTTAATTTATGCAGAGATTTTCCTCCCTTTTTGACTCTAAAACAGACTTCATTCAGCCTGTCTTTGATCACAGGATCGGAGGGATCCATTCCGTCTGGGATTAAAAACCGGGATTTGTTGCAGCTCCACAGCTTTCTTTGGTACCTGGTAGTAAACGAGGAACAAAGAGATGCAGGAAAGGGTCCAAACAGCTGCCGGGTTTGGATCTTTGGGGAACAAGAGGATGGTCAGCAGGATCTCTCCTTACACCCACAGAAGGAACATTAACATGTACTCAGAAATCTGTTTAAAATGCAGTTTAGAGTCTTAAACATGTATATTCCTGAGAACCGGTTCTTCCTGTTGGTTTTTCAGAATTGATACTTTAATCCTGAAAGTAAAAGTTTCCTTACAGTCGAACATCATCGGTGCAAACTGACTGTGTTAAAGGAAAAGTCACACTCAGAATTAAAACTTCTGAAAGTACTTTAATTATGAAATTATTACATACTGTTCCATAAAAGATAAGTGTTTTTAATTAAGAGTAATTTTCATCTGAATGTGCTTTACTGGAGGCAAAGAACACTACTGCCACCTACTGGTTTGTGACGTCACGGTGCGGTATCGGCTGTTGATCAAGT